GGAGGGGGAAACACTTTGAAGTGTCCTGATTTCATAGGGAGCTGCTTATTGAGGTGTTTGTGCAGCACTGGGAGTGAAGGAGATGTGTGGGACACGCAGGAGAGCATCAGTGATGTGTGCAGACAGTGGGGATGGGACAGGGAAGGGCCCGGGTGGGTTTTGTCTCTGGGCTGTGGCATTCCCTGCTCGTGTTCCAGCAGGGCAGAAGGATCCTGGGGTGGGATCAGGCAGCGGTGGGGGAGCGTGGCTGGGCTCTCAAACCTGCTCCTGTCTCAGGTCCTACAGATCCACAGACGGACGGACGACCCCGCAGCTGGGGAACCCCTCAACTCCCCAGCCAGCATCCCCTGAGGTGGGCAACTACCACTCCCACTTGGAGCTGTCCCACACCCACTCACCACGCAGCCCCATCAGCCCCGAACTGCTCTGTGCCCCCCTGACCCCCCTGTCCCGGGACTCCCTGCGCCTCCTGTCCAGCGAGGACACGCGTTGCTCCACGCCCGAGGCCGGCCTGGACGAGCAGGTGGGTGCTGGCTGTGGCAGGGCAGGTGTGGCACCACAGGTGTGGGGAGGCAGCTGGGAACCTGCGCGGGCAGTGCCAGGTGTGGTCCCGGGCACTGGGCAGCGATGGCAGCGGCTGGAGCTCGGTGTGGAGCTGCCGTGCTGCACCACGAGCAGCTCTGCCTCTGTGCAAGGAGCGGGGACAGGAGGCTTTTCCAGGGCTTTTCCAGGGCTTTTCCGTGACTCTGCTCTCTCCCCCCAGGCCGTGCAGCCCTGGGAGCGCCGCACCTTCCCGCTGTCCTACGACCCCCGCACGGAGAGCGAGGAGCAGCCGGACCCGCAGGACCGCCTGTCCCGCTGCACCCGCCGCTCCTCGGGCAGCAAATCCTCCCGGGAATGCGATGGCACTTCGGCTCCGCCCAGCCTGGCCAGCCTCAAGAGCCGAGCCCCGCTGGCCCCCCCCTCCTCCTCCTCTTCCTCCTCTTCCTCCTCCTCCTCTTCCTCCTCCTCCTCCTCCTCCTGCTCCGCAGTCCTGCGGCCAGCGCACAGATAGAGACCCACGGGGAGACATGAGCAAACCAACACACAGAACTAACTCTTGGCATTAAAGCTTCCAAAATCTGCGTTTGATATTCAAACATCCTGCCGGGAATTTTCACAGTTTTTAGTGAATTTAAGGAGTTTAGAAACTGTTTTTTGTTTTCTTTTTTTTTTTCCTTTGTTTTCTTTTTTTTTTTTCTTTTTTTTTCCTTCTCCATGTTTCCTTGTCACATGAATGAGCCCCCAGATTCCTCCCAGCGGAGTGAAGCCTCGGGAGGGGAGCAGCCCACCAGACCCCCTCCCCTTTCCTCCCTCCTTTAGGTGTATAAAACTAGAGCACAGGATTTAGCTGACTAGCAGATTTCGGGGATAGTTTTTCCCAACAAAAGGGTGTCGTTTTCTCTTAACCCACTCCCGCCCCCAACCCTGAAAGGTTTTAGTGGAGTGAAATTAGTGGTGAAAAGTGATGTCTTGGGATTGCAACCTTCACTGTCTGGCTGTCCTCACCTGCAGAGTGCCCACCTGCACTTCCACCCCCCTGCGTTTTCCTGCCCCAGGTTGTAATTCCAGGTTATCCCATGGGGGGGGGATTCTGTCCCCCCCTGATCTTCCCTCTGCCCCTGGGGACACCTCGCCCTTCCTTCTCCCCTGGTTTGGAGCAGCTGTGGCCGTGGCTGCATCCCCAGCAGGGGCAAAGGAGGGACCTCGTGGCTGCTCCACACTCGGCTGGGCGTGGCAGGAGTTGGGCAGCACCTGTGCACACCTGGTGTGTTTTGGAGGGCAGCGAGGGGAAGAGTCCCGGTGCTTCGAGCAGGAGCAGAATTGGCTGAGGCTGCTCGGCTGGAGCCCTGCCCTGGCCCGGGGCCCTGCAGGTGGGTTTGTGTCACACGGGGGGAGCAGAAGGGAAGGATGGAGGCAGGAGGCGGCTCCTGGGGATCGGGATCGTCCCCATCCCGCCTGGGGTCACCACAGCTTCGCTCCACTCCCGCACCGTGCCAGCTCCGGTGTCGGTTCCGTTTCATTTCGGGGTGCCCTGGGTGCCCCCGACAGGAATTTGAGTTTGAGCCCCAGTTCGTTGTTGCCCCAGCCCCTCCCGCACCCGCAGCGATCCCGGACCCCGCGCACCGTCCCCATCCCGAGCTTCCCTGACGGTGTGGCTCCTGGGCCCTGTCCTGTTGCTAGCATTGTGCCTGTCTTATGTATAATCACATCACCAAAAAAAAAACGGGAAAAAAAAATACAAAGGACTTTTTTTTTTTTTTTTTTCCATTTTGTAATCGTAAAGAAATAGTCGCTGAACTGCTTCATGGTCGGGGTTTTCACAATTTTCAACATGATCTCGTGGTTTTGGTTCTGTTCTAGTTTAAAGGATCCGTCATTGTTTCTTTAAAACAAAAACCCAACAAACAACGGCGCTATCATATCCCTCTGCAGAAGTGCTTTTCTATTTATGAGGTTGAAAATTCTGAATAACCCTTTTAGCATTATAAAAACCACACAAAAAAAAACCCACCTTGTATTTTGTAAATATTTTCTTTTCCTGCTTTGAGCTGTGTAATGTCCTTGTTATATAGAAATGCTTTTCTTCCGAGAAGCTGATCTTTGTTAATGTCTTGATTCTGTTGGCAAAGCACAAATGTGCTTATAAAAAAAAAAAAAAGAAGAAAAGATTAAAAAAAAAATTAAAATGTAATATTCCATTTGATGAGTGTGAGAAGCTGGGCTGGGACAGGGAAGGGGCTCTCAGTGCATTCAGCTGCTTCCCCCTGGTTCCAGTGGCCTCTTTTTTCCTGTGTGATGTTGTTTTCCAGCAGTTACTGTCAGCAAGAGGAGGAGCCCCCGGGCTGGGGGTTATTTTACATTTCAGGGCTTAGCTGGTTCTCATCCCTGGACTGTTGTGTGCCCTGTGTGCGTGCAAAGGAAAAACCCCAAAGGGGTCCCTGCCCCAGGTGAGGATTCCTTGGATGGATCCCCCACCCCGTGTCCCCCCATGCAAAAGAGGTGCCAATATCATTATTGTAGTAATGACTTTATTTCCAAATTCACTTTTACGGCAACAGTGTAAACCAGTTGTTAAACACACGATACACTATGGACACCCACAGACAGAAGCTAAGCTAGAATGATACACTGAGATCAAACCTTCCCTCCCCTGGCTGCCAACACCACACAGGCTGGCACCGACCTTGGCTAACACGAAGAATCTTTTGGAGTGCAGAAATACGATTTTTTTTTTTTTTCTTTTTAAATCAGTGCCGGTTTTAACCCTTTTCAGACCCAAGATGTGTGTGGAGTAAAGGAAAAGCTGGGGGTCGGGTTGTCTGGCTGCTCACAGGGACCCTCAGGCCTGGGTCTGAACGCAGGGTTGGGGCAGGGGACGTGGCTCGGGCTGCTGGAGGGGACAGCGGGTGACACGGGGGATGGAAAGGGCTGTCCTGGCACCCCACGACAGCCAGGGCTGAGGAGGAGGAGGGGGCTGCTCACCGGAGGGCACAGGGCGAGCTCAGCTACCCCGTCCTGCAGCCCAGACGGGGCAGGGGGTGACGCTCTGAGGGCTCTCCCACCTTGCTCGTTCTACAAAGGACAAAAACCACGGCGGCTCCAGCGGCGCCGCGGAGTCAGGGACGGAGCACAGAGTCTTACAATCATGGAGTCAAGTGAACGGAGCGAGTGACAAGCTGGACATGGTGGTGCTGCTGGACCAGCCTCTCCCCAGCAATAGAGCAGCTCCTGGGGCTGCAGAGAGAAGGGTTGGACGCCCCAAACCATGGGCAGAGGAACAGGGGTGACAGCGGGATCACAGCTCCCACGGGATGCTGTCCTGCTCTGACAGCCTTGGTGGCACCCAGCCATCCCCCCAAGGACAACCAGGGGCCCTGACCCCGCCAGCCCTGTCCGGATTGCAGCCCTTGCTGGGAAAGCCGAGCTTTCCCTGCAGCACAGCCTGGGGGTGCAGGGACTGAGCCCCCTGTGCCCTCCCAGCTCCAGCTGAACCCCCAGAGCTCGGCGGGGGGACACGGGGCAGGACACGCACGGAGCTGCACCGGTGGCACCTCGGCCTCTTTGGTTGTAGAGGGAAGGGGCAGGCGGGGACAGCTCCCAGGGAGCCACAGGAACAAAAGCAGCCAAAGAAATAAGCGGGCTGGCTCCTGTCCCCGGGCCGTGCTGGGGTGAGGTGCTGCCCTGCAAAGGGGGTTCAGTGCCAGGGAGCAGCCGCTGGCCCCGGGCTGGGGGAGCTCCTCGCGGGGTCTCACCGCTGCCACCGGCACAGCAGAGCCATGGAGCTGCCACCTCCGCCATCGCTGAGCTGACCTTGCAGGGAAACAAAAAGAACAACCCAGAAATGTCACAAGCTGCACCCAAATCCAGGAGCCATCCCAGCCCCGGAGCTGTGAGTGCCCCTCATCCAAGCTCCCCCCGGCAGACATGCGGCACCGGCTCCTCCTGCACCGGGGCTGGAGCCGGCGCGGGGCAGCTCAAAACTACTTACAGCATTTATTTTTTAAACACATGCTCGTTTATGAAAACAATCACCCTGGCACGGTCCAAGCATATACAGACAAATCTACTCTACGACACGAGGGGCTGCCAAAGGAATGGGGAAAAGCCTCTACTCATCCACTCAGCGGTTCCAGCACAGCCACGGAGAGGGGAACGCCTCAACTCCAGCTGCCGGAGCTGGGAGCGGGTTTGGGGGTACCTGGCCGTTATCTTCATACACATCTCGGCTTTCGGAAATAAAAACAAAAGGTTTCTTCCAAATCAGCAGGCAAATTTAACGCGGGGGGTGGGAGGGCACCTCCCCGCAGCCCTGGCTGTGCGCCCAGGGCCAGCAGGGCACGGGCTGGGCGAGCCCCGAGGGGCTCGGGGCAGGTGGCGCTGGGGCCGCCCCTCGGGCCCCCTCCCCGCCTGGCCCCGGGCAGGGCTGGGACAGCGAGGGACGCGGCAGGAGCGGGGACAGGGACAGGGACAGGACGGGCTGTGCGCTCCGAGGAGCAGGGGGAGAGGAGGTTTTGTACCTCATAGTGTCACTGATTTTGAAGTCCTGGAGCTAGAGCTGAATGAACAGTAAAAGCAGGTTAAATCATTAACCAGTTAGGGACGGGGAAGCAGCTGTAAAAGGAACAGAGGAAGAAGGCCAGATTATTATTTTTGTTTCTTTTCTTTTTCGTTTCCTTTCCTTGTCTTCTCTCCTGGTGGCCGCCGTGCCGTGATCACAAGCCCTGCTTGGCCAGCGAGGCGGACACCTCGTCGGCTAGCGTGGCCAGCTGGGGGGAGTCCACCAGGTTGATGCTGCCGGTGGAGGAGACGTTGCTAAGGCGGCGGGGGGAGGCGTCTCCGGAGATGGTCGGGGACTTGTAGACGATTTCGGCGCCGTGGTCGGTCTTGGCTTTGGCGTTCTCACGGAAGGTCAGCTTGTGAGTCTCAATCTGTGGGGGAGAGCAGGGCGGTCAGGGGGCACGGCCGGGGGCACGGCCGGGGGCACCTGCCAGGTGTGCAGGTGGGAGCAGAGCTCGGAGCAGTGAACCTGAGCCCAGTCCTCGGCCAGTCCCAGGCACCAGAGGGGACAGCAGGACCTGAGCATCTGGATGCTGCCTAATCCTCCCCAGGGGAGGTCCTGGGTCCCAGCCCGCCGAGGGCACAGCCTCGGCTGCTCTCACTCCCCTGGCACAGATTTTGGGGGCACGTGGCCCGTGAAGCTCCCCCGTAGCCCACGGAGCTGCTCCCAGGAGCCAAACCCCTCTCCCGGTGGCCTGGACCTCGTGTGCTACTTACAGGTGCCCTGCCCAGCCGAGTGCAAGGCTGGGGGCTGGCTCTCCGTGCAGGTGAGCGGCTCCAGCACCAGGGCCTGGAGCCCAGCAGGGTCTGGGCTCGGGGTCCAGGTCTTGTCTTCCTTGCCTTTCTCTCTCTACGGGTGAAGAAACCCACCCAGGGCAGTGGGGGGCAAAAAATGCATCAGCAACAAAAACCATGATCCAAGAAATGTCAGCCAGAAGGAAAAAGACAAAAAATATAGAAAAGAAATGGAAAACTGGGGAGAAAAAGATCTGAAAAACAGGGCCATTCACTGACTCATAGAAAGAAGAGTGGCTGCCTTTGGAGCCAGGGAGGAAAACTCTCCAGGAACAGCAAGGGAGAGCACAGGGACTTGGGCAGAGCACGGAGCAGCCAGCTCCCCATGGCACACCTGGCACAGGAACCAGAGCTCAGCCTAAAGAACTGCGTGCACTGCGAGTCCAAACGTGGATCTGTGTGTCACAGAGCAAGGAGGGGGCTTGGGGACACAGGAAAGGAGCAGCAGAGCTGCAGCTGGACTCAGTTACACCCACAGCCTCCTCCAGGCTGGAAGGATGAGGTGGTGATGCCACTGCTGGGTCACAGCCTTGCAGAGAAACCCCCCTGCAAAGGGCAAGTTCTTCAAACTATGGCCCAGTGAATGTGCCAGGAGGTGCCAGAGCCGTGAGTGGAATCACAAAGCTGATGGCAAAGGGCTCAGGGAAGCACAGGGAAGGCTGATGCACGGCAGAGAGAAGGGTAAGGAAGTCAAGCGGTCCCGCAGTCAGAGGCCAGCTGGAGGTGAGAGCTGGAGCTGCACAGAGAACACGTGGCCAAGAACAAAGTGCCAAAATACAGGAGCTGAAACAGAACCTTCCCCTCCCATTGAGACAAAAGTGCTGCAAAAACAAGCAAGATAAAAACTGCTTTTCCCTGGGGAAGCTGAACCCTGCTGGAGTCTCAGCTCTGTGCTTACCTGATGTCCTCACCCCCCTGCCTGCTGGGCACTTGGTGGCCTTGAAGCCCAGCTCTGGGGCTGTTTTACTTGGCTAAGACTCGCTGAAGTCACCATCAAAGCCTTGGTGGGAACAGCTCAGCCCCACTTCAGAACCTCCCTGACCCGAGTGCTTTTTGTCTTTCCATTTAAATCCCCCCAAACTCTCCCTCCCGTCACAGAGCCCTCGGTCAGGAGGGAGGAATCACCTTCTGAGGGGCCACTCTGCACCAAAGTCACCTTTTCTAAATAAAGCTGAGCCTTTAATGCTCCACTTTCACCGGGGATCCAACACCTCTGCAGCTCCCCAGCTGCCAGCTCTGTGTCACAGCACAGGGCTCGGTGGAAGGGTTTGAGACAAACACGAACTTCAGAGGCAGCAGCAAGAGCAGGAAAGCACAGCAGAGCTGTCACTGACACTCACTGAGGTGGCCACAGGCCCGGAGGGACACGGAGCCCCAGCTCTGCCAGCCCCTCCCAGTGCTCACAGGACACACCTGACCCCAAAAATAAACATTCACCTTTTTATTGCCTCCTCCAGGGACGTGGCTGATGTTATCTAGGGACCCGATTTTCGACTGCACCTTGTCTTTGAAGTCCAGTTTCTCAGATTTCACCTCCACCTGGCCACCACCTGGAGGAGCAGAGCGAGAGGAGGGTCAGGAGCTGGGAACAGCACCCAGCAGTGCAGGGCTCCAGGCTCTGCCTCCCTCACCCCCCGAGCCCCAGGGCCAGCACAGCCTGCAGGGTACCTGGTTTGTGATGGATGTTGCCCAGGGAACCACATTTGGATGTCACATGGCTCAGGTCCACTGGCTTGTACACGATTTGCACCTGCCCACGGGAGAGAGGAGAAGGGGATGAGCTGGGGGCCAGCACGGGCAGCTGGGGAGGGGGAGCACAACACACAGCAGCACCTGAGCTGGACTGGAGGGAAAGGAGAGCTCCAAGCCCAGCAGGATTAATGACACCAAAGAAACTGTCATCAGAAATGGGAGATCATTAATGCCCGTGTGCAGGAGCCTCTTAACAGGTCAGCATGCAGAGATCACCTCTCCACAGAGGGGGGAGTAGAGGCAATTTTAAAGTGCTCGAGTGAGAGAGAAAGTGGAGTGGTAATTAATTAAGATTTGCATACACATCATCCAAAAGGAGGAGATATACCAGAGAGAAAACGTAAAAAATAAATACCTTTTCTGGTGTAAAACATAAAGCTTATGTCCACAAAAACTGAAAGAACAGAAATGATCAATGTGCACAGAACTTTTAAAAGAGTGACCAAAATATGCATTTCTGAAAAATGCTGTAACGGAAATAAGGGTTAAAAAAAAAACCAAAAAACAAAGCAAAGTCTAAATATTTGAAACTAAAATGGCAATCATAAATTATTGAACCACAACAGCATTTTGTGCTATTTAAGCTCAGTTCTGATGTGCTTTGCCCATCAGGATGTCTCTGCTGCAGCAGCTCCAGAGATCCCCCTGTCCCCAGGGCACGTGGGGGACAAGGGACACACACAGAGGGACACCCAGGGGCTCTGCAGGGCTCAGCTACACACGGGGAGCAGCCTGGGGCCAGGCACACACAGCACGAGCAGGAGACAAGGGGGGAGGAAACATCCCCAGAGCCCCTGGAGCCACCCTGGGCTGGGACTCACAGCGGGTGTGGGTCAGAGCTGCTGGGGTTATGGGGCTGAGCAGGAGAAACGGCATCACCCACAGCCCCAGGGTGAACCTGGGCATCACCCACAGCCCCAGGGTGAACCTGGGCATCACCCACAGCCCCAGGGTGAACCTGGGCATCACCCACAGCCCCAGGGTGGCCCTGGGCATCACCCACAGCCCCAGGGTGGCCCTGGGCACAGCCTGGATTCCCCAGGGAGCATCTGCTGCTCTCTGTGCTCCCTAGGCACCAGAGCAGCCCAGGAGGATGTGCCAGCACCCACGGGAGCTGTGCAGAGGAGCTGACTCCTCCCAGACCAGCACAAGGAGCCCCTGCAGCCTCTGCCCCCCTCAGCACCTGGGGCTGGCCCAGGGGAAGGTGCCTCCTCCAGCATTGGCCCCAACACCCTCAGAGATTGCCAGAGCCCCGAGAAACACCCTCACCCACCACGGGGCCAGGAGCAGGAGGAACAGAGGCTCAGGCACGGAGCCCTGCTCTCCTGCCTTGTCTCCCTGCTCACACACACCAAAGGCACGTTTGACACGAGACAGAGAGGGACAAAAGCAACCCCTCGGGGTCTGGGGGCACACCTGGACACAGACAGTGGGGAAGGTCACACATTTAATGCACTTGGGCAGGAGAGGAGCTGGATTTGGTTGGGAAGTAGGAAAAAGACCCAAAAACGGCAGCCAGTGCCTTTCTAATCCCAGCTGTGACCCTGAAGGGTCTCTCAGCAATTCAGGCACCACTGAGACCTGGGACTGAAAGTCCTCCCATTTCCAGAGCTAGCACTCAGCAATTGGAACTTCCTGCTCCCATTCCCAGTCCCTTTTTTGACTGGCAGGACTCTGTTACCCCTTCCCATCCTGCTGGGGAGCACAGAAGGATCCTCCCCATTTTAGCGAGGAAGGAAGAGGGGAACAGAGTTGTTTGCCTGGGAAAGCAGTGCCAGAGACCTGGGGATCCCACCCCTCAGCATCAGCAATGCCAAGGCCAACTCCTGCCTCAGGCATCCCCTGGTCAGAGCATCCAGGGGCTGAAAAATCCAGGCACCAGCCCAGGGAGTGGCAGCTCCCTCTGGTGCAGCCGTGGCTGGGCAGGGGGTGCTGCTGCCATGGGGGCTCAGCCCCAGAGGGCCCGGGGGTCTCCTGCTGCCCAGCCAGGTACCCTGCCCCTGGCAGGCTGTGCTCCAGGGCTGCTGCAGCCTGGCAGAGGACAGGGTTTTCAGTTCTGGCAGGGCCTGGGGAGGGATCACAACCCCCAGATGAAAATCCAGGTGATTCTTAACCTTTGCAGCTGCAAAAGCCCACGGTGTGAGCTCTGTGGAGGAAGGGACGAGCTCAGCAGCAGCCACAGCACGGAGGGTTGGTGGCCAACACCAACTCCTGGTCCACCACACCCTGGGCAGCCCAGGCAGTGCAGGACCCCAGAGGAAGGAAGAGGAAGAGCCATGGAATTGTTTCACAGGGGCCTGAGCTCTGCTGAGCAGCTCCTCTGGCCTGTGAAGTCACTGCAGAGTGACATCAAATTTAAGCCAGAGGTTGCAAACCCAGCTGTGTCCCCGTGTTCACCTGCCAAGCCTTCTGCAAGGCTCAGCTCCTCGGGGAGGTCCACAGAGATCAAAAACAGCCCAAGGAAAATCCACGGGGAACATCTCAGACCAGGCCCCCACAAACCCCAGCCACACTGTCTGGGGTCTCAGGGATGTGCCTTCCTCAGTCCAGCATCTTTCCTGGACCCAAATGCCCCAGCTGTGAATCCACCAAACTCTGTGGAGCTTCTCCAGGTTTCTGGCACAGTAACTGAAAGCTGAGTCTGGTGTTTATGTGGGAACAGCTGGAAATGCCAGTGTTCAAATCAATTAAGTCAACAACACTTCAGGCTCAGCCTCCGTGGGCGCTGCTGGACACGTTTGTTAGCAAGGAGAAACTCAATATTTGCATGGATCATACTTGCCTGATGGGAATGGGCACGTTCACATGCTGGCCAGGATCATGTCCCATTTAGCAGCACATTGAGCAATGAGGACTGGGTCTGCTCATCAATCTGCCCATCTCCTGCACCACCGTGTGCCAGGGGCCCCATCCCACAGACAAGGAGGCTCCAGGCAGGGCAGAGCCCTGGAGTTACTGGGATTTCTGTTACACACAGGTCTGGACACGGGGCAGTTAGTTCTGTCCATGCCAGGCATGGCCAGGACTTGTTAGGGTTCATTTTTGGGTTAAGGGGTTAAATGACAGCACGTCCCCAATGGCTATGTGACAGCAGGGTGGCTGCAGATAGCATTGGTGATTAGTGTAACAACATGCCACTAAAATCAGGATTATTACAGAGCATTCAAAGTGTGAAGGTACTCACACTGCCTCCGCCCGGGATGTGTTTGATATTATCCTTTGAGCCACACCTGGATTGAACGCTGCTAAAGTCCAGCTTCTTATTAATTATCTGCACCTTTGGTAGCCAGAAAAGAGTCATTGCACGTCACCAATTGCTATCTGATGGCAGGGTCGCTGCAGATAGCATTGGCAGTTTAGTGTACACAACATGCCACTTATGATAGAACTGTTATAGAGCATTGAAAGTGTGAAGGTACTCACACTGCCTCCGCCCGGGATGTGTTTGATATTATCCTTTGAGCCACACTTGGATTGAACGCTGCTAAAGTCCAGCTTCTTATTAATTATCTGCACCTTTGGTAGCCAGAAAAGAGCGTGAGAAACAACATGACCATCTGCAGCTTGACCATGTGTTACATCCCTAAAACCAGGAACCTGCCTTCCAGGGCCAGGAGTGAAAAGGAAAATCTCTGGCTTGCTGCACAGATTTGTCTGCTCCTGGCTGGAAAGGGAAGATGGAGGTGGGCAGGTAATAGCTCGAGGCTGGGTAGTGACACAGCCCTGGGTCCCAGGCCACAGCAAAAGCCAGCTCAGCCTGGATCCTCCCACTGAACCAAACTGGGAGGCTGCTGGAAGGCAGAGCTGAGAGCACCTCCAGTGTCAGAGCCCAGGTTGTGCAGAGCCAGCGAAGGAGGAGGGCTGGAGCCGAGAGGAAAATTCCTGCCCAGCTCCAGCTGCCGTGCCAGACACCACAGCCCCCTCCTGGGCCAGCCACAGCTGCCCCGGGGCAAACAGGTGCCCCTGGCCGGGCTGGGATGCAGGAGCTGCGTGTCCAGCACTGGGACAGGGCAGCAGCTCTGCTCTGCACAGGGCTCACACTGCTCTGCACAGGGCAGCAGCTCTGCTCTGCACAGGGCTCACACTGCTCTGCACAGGGCAGCAGCTCTGCTCTGCACAGGGCTCACACTGCTCTGCACAGGGCTCACACTGCTCTGCACAGGGCTCACACTGCTCCACAGCCCCGGGGAAAGCCAAGGCTGCGGGGATGCAGCCCCAGGGATGCTGCCCCAGGGATGCAGCCCCACAGCAGGGATGCTGCCCCAGGGATGCAGCCCCAGGCCCCATCCCAGGGATGCAGCCCCATCCCAGCTCTGTGGCACATTCCTGAGGAGTCTCTGGTGGGTGGGAGTGAGGCTGGGCTGGGCTGGGAAGCACTGCTGGCCACTAGCCATCCCCTCCAGCCCCACAGCCTCCCCTCCTTCCACTCAGGGCTTGTTTCCCCCCCTGGCTGTGCTGGAGCCACCTCAGGCACCCCAGGGGTGGAGACAATCCCTGCTCCTTCCCCACACACCCTGGAGGGGTTTACAACCCCCACAGGTGTAAATGCAGGTAACAGCCCACAGGTCTGAGCCTGTGTGAAGCACAAACCTGTGACAGGGACCACGAGAGCTCCAGCAGTGCCACATCCCCGGGCACAGACACTCCTGGTGGCACCGTCCCCAGGGCTGGGGATCCCTCACATCCCTCACATCCCTCACCTCCATCCCAGCCCCAGCTGCTCCTGCCAGGAGAGCTCCCTGCAGTGCCCTGGCTCCCCAGCACGGCTGGCCTGTGCCTCCAGCAGGGTTTTCCAAGCTCACATCCACTAAGCCACAAACCAGGACCCAGCTCTGCCAGAGCAGCACTCAGTGATGCAGCCACAAGAGAAGTGCTCAGGCCATGCAGGAGCACTGGCCTGGCTGCTCCTGGCCACTGTGCCCCGTGTTCCTTTGCCTGCCCAGCCTGGGGCTCCGGATTCTGCACGGAGAGAATCCAAACCATTTCTGACCAGCCTCAAATCAAACACCTGGGACCAGCCCCCTCTGCTCCAGCTGCAACCATTGTGCTGAGAGCAGCCTCGTGTCCTACAGAATCCCCAGCACAGCATCCAGCCATTCTCCCTGCAGAGAGCAAGGACTTGTCCCAAATTCAGCTGTTCTTACTCTTTCAGCAACAGCAACAAACAGAGAAGCAGAGAGGGAAAAAACCAACTTGTAAAAGCCGGATTAAAAAAGAACAAGCAAATAATTTAACTATTTTCCAGTAAACAAGGGTTCCTTCTAAAATCCCTGGAGAACAGGGTTTGTGGGGGTGGCAAGAAAAACCTGTCTTGTGCTCAGTGGGCAGGAGGGCTGAGCCCCCCCAAAAAGGACACTGTGCTCATGTGCTGCTGTCTCATGACCAAGAGCCCGGCCCAGGCTCCAGAGCCCCCCTGGATCGTGGCACAAAGCCAATAAATTGCCAGCCACGGTGGAAAATGCCTGGAAAGGCCATGGAAAAGCAGGCTGCCATTCACAGCATGCAGAGGAGCCAGCTCAAAGCCTCCCCCCATGCCAAAGGGGAACATTCAGAGCCACCGAGGTACCTGCTCACACCAAATGTCATGCACAGCACTCAGGGAAGGTTTCTTGTGGCTCTGCAAGGTCTGGAGCCAGTGGCATTCCCAGGACAGGCAGTGGCCCCTGCCAGGCTTGCAGAATTTAACCCAAGACTCTCATTCCCAAGCACCTGGAGCCCAGAGATCACTTTGCTGCTCATGAAACAACTTTTCTGGGAGTGCAAAGTGTTTGAGAGGATAGAAGTGCCACCAGTTCTGGTCGTGCCACCCTGCACTGATGGCACAACACCACCAAAACCTCGCCAACAGAGCTGGATCCAAATTCCCAGTGTCTGGCAAAATGTGGGGTCCGAGCCTGAGACCCTGAGGAGACAGAGGGACCTTCCTGAGCTGCAGTGCTGGAAGGGCTGCCCCAGGCACAGGGTGGGATTCACAAGCAGCCCTGACCCTGCTGTCCCTACCCGGGCACCCCAGGGAATGCCACTCCCCTGGCAGCCACTCCAGGACACCCACACCACGAGCTCTCCATGGCACAGCTGAGCTGCACGAAGCCAGGCAAGGAATTCCAGGCCAAGAATCCAACCCAAAACCTTTCAGCTGAGCCAGGGTCAGGTGGAGCCCAGAGCTTGGAGCTCAGAGCCAGGAGCCCAAAGCTCAGAGCTCAGAGCTCAGAGCTCAGAGCCAGGAGCCCAAAGCTCAGAGCTCAGAGCTCAGAGCTCAGAGCCAGGAGCCCAAAGCTCAGAGCTCAGAGCCAGGAGCCCAAAGCTCAGTCAGTAGCCCAGAGCTCAGAGCTCACAGCCAGGCTGCTGCCGCTGCCCCAGGGCGTTCTCCCACCCCAGAGGGAGTGTCCAGCACCCCCTGTCCCCCAGACAGGTCCCTGGGAGCAGAGTCTGTGTTTACCTTGCCACCTCCGGGCTGGTGCTTCAGGTTATCAGTGGAGCCGATTTTGGACTTGACGTTTTTCAGGTCGGGCATGGGCGCGGCCGCCGGCTGCACGCGGGTCTTGGCAGAGGCCGGGGATTTCGGGGGGGTGCGAACCACTGCCACCTTCTTGGGCTCCCTGGCTGGTGGGGTGGGCAGAGAGGGGGTGCGGGAACGGCTGCCTGGAGTCCCGGGGGAGCCGGGACTGCTGTAACCGCTTCTGTCTCCGGACTTGGGCTGCTCACCTGCAGTTTGCACACAGGACAGCCCCGCTCAGCGCCCCTGCTGCCCCCGGGGGCCTCGCCCCGCAGCCCACCCAACATCCCCGTGCACGGGCAGCCTGGTGGCTGCACTTTCTTCTACTCCATTTTGAAGGAAAAAACCGTGATTCAAAGGCAATTTCCTAATATCCCAGAAGGAAGGTGGTCTCCATTGCCTGGATCAGTCCCCACCCGAGCGTGGCACGACGAATTACACACAAAAGACACTCAGAACCACTTTTCTATCAGAAATTTGGAAGCACTCTCACAAAATTATTTTCTGTAATTAACTAAGGCTGATCGCTGAGCAGCTTAGCACTGTCCCCACTTTGAAAAGGAAACGAAAGAAGAAAAGAAGACCCTTAAACATCACCTTTCTCAGTCTTTGCTGCTGCAGGAGGTGGCTTTTTCTGCTCCTTTCTGCCTGTTTAGTGAATGAGAAAGATGCTTAAACATAATAAAGCTGGAAAATTAATTGATTTAAGGTTTTATGCAGCTCTAGCTAAGTATGAAATATATGTATATATCCAGTGAAATGCACCATTTTAATGGAAATTCACAATGCCTGATGCTTTCTGGGGTTTTCTTCTCTGAGCATAATGGGCTAATCTCCATTCCTGTAATCGAAGAATTGATCCTCTTGCCCCTGGTCTTTGTGAAATATCATCAGGGAGAAAACGAGCAGATGGATTAAAAAAAAATGGAACTGCCTAAATCTTCCAAATTTGAGGAAATCCCACAGGACAAAGCAACTGGCCTCTCCTACCCACTGCAGACTGCACGAACACAGGGCACAGAGCAGCCCTGGAGCTGCCCCACGAGCCCCGGGCCAGGGCTGAGCTGGGCCAGCAGCCCCTGGGGCTGGCCAGCAGCACACGGAGCCCCCGTCACCTACCGGAGCTGGGAGGGGTCTTGGGGGCCGTGGGGGTCTTGGCCGGGATGCGAGTGGCGTTGCTGGAGTTCCTCTGCGCCTGCCCCGAGCGTGTCTTGGAGCCAGCCCTGGCCTCGGGGCCCTGGGGACACAGAGGGGACATCAGGGACAGCCTTGTCACCCCGCGGGATCGCGGCACCTCAGACCCTCCTCCCACTTCTCCCCGGGATTCCCCACATTCTGGAATGTTCACGCCTCGTGTCGTGTCTGCACAGCCAGGGCACGGCCCCTCCTGGGCTCACCTTGCCCAGGTGAGCCCTTGGCTTCAGCTGCACCATTCGCTGCACCCTCACACCTGCTTTAGCCACACCTCTGCTCTCTAAATTTCATCCTTGGGTTTCCCCTGTTCCGCTAAAATTTTGTACAGAAGATAAATGAACCCCAGCATCTGTGACTGGCACAGGGTGCCCAGAGCAGCTGGGGCTGCCCCTGGATCCCTGGCAGTGCCCAAGGCCAGGCTGGACACTGGGACAGTGGGAGGTGTCCCTGCCGTGGCAGGGGTGAGATTTAAGGCCATTTCCAACCCAAACCACGCCAGGGTTCCGTGGTTCTGTGTGACCTGCACTGCCCGTGCTTTCCCTGTGACTGGATGTCACAGAGGGAAGAAGCTCCGAGGTTCTGCAGGATTAGCCGCGGGTGTGCTGCATTCCCTGCAGCTCTGGCACGGCTCAAACCCCTCTGTGTGAAGCACAGGCAGAGCTGCAGAGCGAGGAGGGGCAGGAAGGGACCCGGGCACGGCTCAGGGCACGGAGCCCTCTGTGCTGGCTGTGCCGGTCCAAGCCCAGAGCCGAGCCTGGGCAGGTCCCCTCGGACCAGGGCAGGACCCAGCCCAGCAGCAGCTGCCAGGAACGCCAGGAGCTCCTGCAGGTGCTGCCCCGGGCTCTGAGACAGCCCCTCCCCTTACCTGGGCCCCTGCTGGGTGCAGGGCAGGGCGGGCTGCAGTGGAGGCACGGGCAGGGCTGCAGGGACATTTCGGAGGGGCTGCGGGCCCGAGGGGGGGCTTGGCAGGGCAAGGTGAGGATTTCTTGGGACGTGGAAATGAAATAAAATGGGAACAAAAACAAAAGAAAAATCAGCGTGGGAGGGAAATAAAATGGGATCAGCGACATTAAAGAGGATTAGGAGGTGCAATACAGAGCTGGGTGTGGGGTAGGGACTGCTGGGGCTGTATGTAGACAAATAACCAATTTCTGTCTTAGAAAATAACTCTATTGCTCATCTTTAACTCTTCACCCACTGAATTTCCCCTCAGCTTGTCCATTATCCCACTCAGGCACTAACCACCAGGACAATGGCCAGCTGAGCTAAACCTCCTCCAAATTACCAATGTGACAGATATTGTTTAGCTTCTGGAATTTACCCAGTACTAAACTCTGCTCCTCACCCAGAACACAATGGAGGAGCTGGATTTGATGATTTTTGTGGATCTCATCCAGCTCAGGTTATTCTATGATCTGCAAGGCCTGGATTATTTAATTTAACGTTCTAATTACATGTTTTGCTCTTTTCACAGTTATGCTTGTCCCCAGTGCAGTTCTGAGTCTGCCCCAAGGTCAGTTGCTGCTTTTCAGTCCTGGGCTGAGAAAATGATTTCTCCAACCTCCCACCCAACCCCATGAGCCACGTGTTGGATTTAGATTTGGATTGTTTCCTCACCCTCAAAGAACCCATGGATTGCACCATCCCAACCCAAAGGAGGGAAAAAAAAATAAAAACACTCTTGAAAACAAATGGAAAAATGGAACACAATGAGAAGGTTTCCTGAGAGGAACAAGAGCAGGGCAGGAGGGGAGCCAGGAACATGGACAGGTGTCACCCTTGGCTTTGTTTTTACCTTACCTTGGATTTCTTTTCATCAGCTTCGGTCCCTTCCTTGTCAACACGACCTGACAGATGGAAACACACAGTTACACCTCTTAGGACTGGTCCTAAACTCCGGGGTCTGCTCCCTGTCCCTGCTCTCCCTTAAATTCAATATTATTCTTAGAAATGTGACCAAGTCACCATTTCTTGCAGAAATCACTCCACAAGCACATTCCTTGTGTGTTAGCAGATGATCCTGTGTTAGTCAGCACTGGAGACCAGACACACCAAGGTTTGTGTGAGAGCATTTTGCCCAGATTTCCACCCAGCTCCTGCAGGATCCGTCCATTTCAGGACAGAAAGTTCCCTTCAGCTCTACACAGTCTCTGAAACACCCACTTGTTCCCAATTAACAGAGACTCAGACTGAAGGAAGGCCCAGTCCAGCACTGTGATCTCATTTAAGGGGTTGTTCAGTTGGGTTGCAGAGCACTTCCATCCTGGCTGTTGTTAATTCCCATCTCTCCTGACAGGCTCTGCCTCCCAGCACCGTGCCCCTTCCACCTGGGTCAGTCTAATTAGGAGATCAGAAACGGGGAGGAGATGAAGTTTGTACTCCAAGGCACTCATAACAAAGCCCTTTCCCCCCACCTTCAGCTAACTGGGGGGAGAAGCTGCTGCTATTCTCGCCAGTCCTGGGGGATCAGCCCTTCCCTGGTGGCATGGACACTGCTGTTACTGCAGCACTGGCCCATCCCAGAGCTGCTGGATGCACCAGCCCTCCCAAACTCGGTCAGACTGGAGCCAAACAGCCACCAAGCACCTCTGTCTCTGGAGGGGAATGCCATTAAATAACTGAACTTCTCCTACTGAATCAGAAGCTGGCTGGCTCTGGGCAGTGCATCCCCACCCTGCCATGGTTCCAGGCTCCAGTGCAAGCCATGCCAGTGCCAGAGCAAAGCTTCCCACTGCTGATGGCCAGGGAACAACCAGAAATGTGTTATGAGCTTCAGCTCCAGTGCAAAAAGCTCCATCAACAATTTCTTGGTGAGCCCCGTGCAGCAAAGGGCCTCAAACCCAGCAGCAGTCCCAGGCTAATGGAGCAGCCAAGGCAGCCTCTGGAATGTGGAACTGGGGAAAAGGCAGAGCTCCCCCCAGGACATGCCCTGGAGAGCCAGAGCACGGTGAGACACCAGCCCGAGTCCTGCTGCCCTGGCTTGTGACCACAGCTCACAGCATCACTGAGCCACTGAGCCGGGCCCCTGGGACACTCCTGACCCCAGGAGAGGTGCAGAAGAGAAAGGAAAGGTCTAAGGGATGCTCGTGCATTTAGTGGTGACCTCAGAGCTTCCCCCAGGGCTGCCCTCCCAGGCCAGCCCAGCCCCACACACAGCTCAGGAGCCTCCAGACAGGCAGCTCCTGCTGGACCCCAGAGCCAGCACGGTGCTGCCACACCCAGGGACACCCCATCCCGAGCTGGGGTGGCAGCAGGATGCTTTGGAAGAGCAATGGACATGCCTGGCAGTGGGAAAAGGCCCTGCTGGCTGCAGCCCGTGCCTCCAGCAGCAGCCAGCAGTGGATATTTAAGGGGAAAGTACAAGAAACAGGATCAATGTGGGGGCTTCTCCATGGTCAGACCTGCCATCCTTGCCTTTTTCCTCCTCCCTCCTCCTTAGGAAAGCCAATCCCAGGAGTTATTGGCTCAGACATGCAAACCAGATGGGATGTGTCCTGCTGGAACAAGCTGCCCACGCCGGGTGAGCCCCACTGCACCGTGCCAGAGCCACCTCCATCCCGTCCTCATCTTCTCTGGGAAGGGCCAGGTGGGAGCTGAGGCACCCACCCGACAGATCCAAGGAAATCAAAACAAAAACAGGTGAGAAAAAGCACGATTAGGGACAGGCCAGCACCATGCAGGGGACAGAACGGCAGCACGAGGGTCTGGCAATCCAATCCAGGATTAAACAAATAAAGAGGGAGCAGCAGGGAGGAGCAGCAGTGCTGCAGATCAGTCACAGCACAGCTCCAGGCCATTTCCAAGCAGCAGGAGCCGAGGTGGCAGCAAGCTGCAGGGCTGGGCCAGGCAGCCCCGCTGGAGCACACACCTTTGGGCAGAGGGACACGGCTGGCCTTGTCTGCAGCCAGCCCACTGGCCTTCCTCCTGGGCGTCCTGCGGCCCCCAGCCTCTTCCAGAGGAGCATCTCTGTCCTTCACATCATCCCCTGCCTCAGCAGGGGCTTTGGATGTTTCTAGCACGGGCCCAGAATCTTCTCCCTCCTTGGGCTCAGCCTCTTTTTGGGAGACACTTCCAGAAGGCTCTGGCAGGTCTGCACCTCCTTCTCCCCCCAGCAGCTCTTGGTCCTCTCCTGCTTTATGGGACTCAGCTTCAGGCAGAAGGGCCTCTCCTGGGGTGTCTCTGAGGACACTTTTGGCTTTGTTTTCTCCATCCTTTTCTTCACGAGCCTCCTGGGCAGCTGCTGGACACGAGCCCTTTGCGGGTGCCCCAAGGGAAGGCAAATCCTGCTGAGCAGTTTCATCAACATCCCGGTCCTCATCTCTCTCCTGTCCACCCGAATCTTCCTTTACCGTGGCTCTGGCACACAAAGGAGATGTCGCCTCTTTGTGGTCACCTGTGCCACCTGCTCCTGCCAGCCCCTCCGTGCCCAGCTCGGGCTCCTCAGCGGCGCCTCCCTGATCCCACAACTCACGGCTGCCTTCGGCCGCTCCGGAGCCTTGGTACATGTCCAGGGGGATCGGGATGGTCACCTCGATTCTGGTGGGAGCTGCCTTCGTTTCCTGGGCCAGAGGTGCCTGCTCTGGGGGCTGGCTGGCACCTTTCACTGCCTGTCCCACAGCAGTGCCAGGCTGGAGCCCGGGGGAGCTCGGCTCGCCTGGAGTTGGACACGTGGGGTGTGAAGCATGGGCAAGAAATTAGCACAGGCATGTCAAACATCAGAGAGAGTCAGGATTTCTACTGAAAATCCAGAGAGAAAAGCAAGTCCCACCCCACCCCACTGAACAGACACTCGTTCCTGCAGAGGCTTTTAAAGAAACTCTGATCCCCATAGGAAACAGGAACAGCAACAGTGGGACACCAAATTCCTGCCTGGACCAGGCTCACCCTGCACTCCATGAGCTGGTTTAGCTGTAGAGGCTTCCAGAAGCCAAGAGCATTCCCATTTTCCCACTGGACCATCAGTTTGCTGGTCAGTGCCCACCTCTTCTTGCCTCAAGGGCCAGAGCCCTGCCCTCCTTCCTGACCTCACACAACCCCTGCTGGCCTTCCCCATCCTCAGGGGATGCTCAGGCACACACAGCACTGGCTTCAGAGCTCAAACCACCTCTGTGCTCATTCCACTGCCCAGGAGCTCGGGGAGAGCACTCTCATGCCATGGCAGAGCAGGGGAAGGACGTGGCTGCAGCCACAGTTTGGGACTGGGACCCCACTGGGAGCTCCAGTGCTGCCACTGTGCCACCACTGGGGCTGAGTGACACCTGAACCCCAGAACCTGAGGCCACAGAGACAAGGATATGTCTGCTTCTCTTTTCTTTTTCAGGGATTCTGTTCTGTCACTGTCCAGTGCATGACACAGACCTTTACAATTCCACCCAACAACTGCTGCATGAAGCCAGACCTTCTAACTGAGCTGGAGCTTTTCTGTTGGGAATCCCTTCAGCTGAAGGAAAGATGCCCTGAGCAATGGAGAATTCGCCTGGATGTGGGTACACTGCTTTAGAGTCAGCCAGCCCAGTAAGGATGTGCCCCTTGTGTTATGAGCAGGTTCAGCTTCAAGGACTCTCTGGTCTCTTGGAGCACTGAGCAGGTCAAGAGCCTGAATCAGAACCCTGAGATCACAACTGTGGCATGGCAGATTAACAAACAAGAATAAAACAAAAAAAGATGAAGTCAAGACCGACTTGGTCTCCCATCAATGTCCTCCCTATTTTAAGAGAATATCACAGTTAAGTGAAACAACCACACAAAGACCTTGTATGTGACAGCTGAAAGATCCCAGGACAAGGCAGAAAGGCTCAGTAAAAATCTGGTGAGAAACAGCACTAAAAGCAGGGCAGAGAGAAGAGAGAAATTCAACTCTTCCACTAACAATCCTGATTTCCTTTTTACAGTGGTTGCCACTGTTTCATATATGGAAGAGCTGACAGTCCAAAAACCACTGGCCAGGCAAGTAAAGGTTTTATTCTAATTTCAGGCAGCAGAATGAACAGAATTGTGCTCATCTGTGTGTGGAAAGAAACAACAACCTGAATTCTGCCCTGAGCTGAGAAGGCAAAACCCATTTACTTCTGTAAAAGACATGGATGTCTAAATGCACTAATGGAGCCATGATGAGGAAAGGCACTGCCCAACTGGAGGGATTTATTATGTTTGCTGCACGGGAAACTGCTTCACAAAATGGCTTTTCACTAAGATTTTAAACAGCAGACTCAATGAGTGCTGTGCAGGCAGGACAGAAACATCACAGGGAGTCTCAAGCCCTAAGTCTGCCCCATGGAATTAAGCCAGCACTGGGGGCTTTGGGAAAACCAGTTTTCCATCAAGTCTGAACTGAGGAGAGTCAAGAGAAGCTTTCCAGGCATCCAAAGGGTCCCTGGATAATTTTCAGCCCATCTGAGCAGACACATAATTAATGCTGTGAGAACACTCGCTGCCCACCGTGTCTGGCTTTGTCACTCACATTCCCCAAGACTGGGATGAGGAGAAAAATCCCTTAATGTTGCAGTCAGGATATGAGGTTTGAGTCCTGTTTTACATTAGAAAGAAAATAATTAAACAATCTGGGCCTGAACTGCCTCTGTTCCACCTGAGCAGCTCCTCTGGCCATCAGCTTTTCCAGCCTGGAGAATGCCCTGGTTCTGCAGCTGGACCAAGAGGCACCATGAGAGGGAAATGTGGTGCACGAGAAGCTGCAGCTCCCTGAAATGAGTGTGCTGGAACATTCCAGGTGTGCACGGCCCTCACCTGCCAGGAACTGCACAACTGCTGTGCAGGGCAGAGCATTTCCTCACTGAACAAAACCCCCAGGCAGCAACGTGGGCAGCAACAAGTGGTGCCAGTGGCAGAGGATTCACCCACCTTGAGTGGCATCTCCTGCAGCGTGGTCCTCCAGGTTGGGAGTGGCTCCTACGCCCGCCTCTTCAGCTGCTCCAGGGCCGGAGAAAGAAGGGGAAAAACATGATCAAAATAAGGGTTTAGTTTAGGCAGGTGCCTGGGGAACCAATGCCCCTCCCTGCCGAGGCTGCCCAGCAGCAGGGGCAGGATCTCTGCTGTGCCACGGCAGGGCAGTGTCAGGAGGGAAATCTCCCCACACCGATGGTGGCTCTGGGTAGATCTGTGCTGCACAGACCACGAGTGTCTCACCAACTTCCACATCCTAAATGCAGGTTAGTACAAGCTCTTCCAGGCAGAAAACAGGCTGTTAAGGAGCAAGGAAACTTGTGGATTTATATCCCTTTTCTACCCCCACTTGGCCTTTACCTGGCCAGCAGCACTCCGTGAATGTCTCTTACCTGAGCTCACCTTTTTGGTGCCTGTGACCAACCTGTGAACCCTGCCAAGGCTGGGTGAGACCATAATTCCAAGCCTGATATAAATCTAGAGAGATCCTGAACTTCAGCACTACTGGTTCATCAGAGAAGCGTGGTTTTCTTCACAGTGATGATGGTTTGTCTCCATCAGCATTTCTTCACTTCTGTGACTGCTTTCAAACTAGCTTACACAATTATATTTGTATGCCACAGTTCTCCAGTCAAACTAGGACTTCTTCTGTTTCCCCATTTTTTGTCCACGCAGTTCAGGACACACAGGCTCCCTGGGACACTCAGATCTTGCACCAGAGCCTCCATGTTTCAGCCCAGGGACTGGATGCAGCACAGAAATTTCGCTGCTGTGAGGTTGTTCCAGTGTTTGGCACTGGCAGAAGCCCTTTTCTACCCACTGCTTTTCTCAGGTCCTGCCTGATGCTTCCAGGGAAAGCCACTGGCTATGGCACAGGGGACACATCCTCATTTTCTGCACACAGACCTGCCCTCCCAGGTCCTGCTCTCTCACACACAGCACCACCACAGTCACTGCTCTGCCTCTGGAAGGCCCCATCCTTCCATGGAAAACCAGGCCCAGGTGCAGTGAGTGCCCACAGGGCATTCAGGCTGAATTAGTCACTTCACTTCCTCTGCATTATCCTTAAAAGCACTGCTGCAGTGGCCTGGTTTTCACCTGCCACTGCAAAGACACCCACGAGGGCTGGGCAGACCCAAGTGCTGCAGGACAGGCACCGAGGGGCAGCAGCAGAGAGGGGCAGGAACCACCCAGAGCTGCAGGTAGGAGCCTGGAGGTGGGAGCCAAAGCCACCACAGAGACACCAGGCAGAAGGATTGCCAGATGTGGAGCAGAGAAAGAGAGAAGAAACGGCTGGGAGTCTCCCCAGGATGGGGAAGGCAAGAGGACACCACCAAGTGAGGAATTGTCAGGAGAAGAAGGAAGCAGCACTGGGAGCAGTGTCCCTGTGAGAGGTTTCGTGGTGTTGTCTCACAGCACCGACCAGTCCAGCTCTCTGCTCTGTCTGCAGCAAGAGATGAAGCTGCACCTTGGTCTCCCTCACCTGTGGTTCCTTCTGGGATCTCCCCGTGCTGTTCCACACCACCCTGATCCTCGTGGTCTCCTTCCTCCACTAAAGGTGCTGTGGCATCTGAAAAACAACACGGCTTTCACACAGCTGCTGGGAGGCCAGGCTGTGCCCGAAGAACTCTGCTCAGAAAACTCAGCTCCCTCCTTGAGGAGCTGCGCCAGGGAACAGCTGAACATGTCCCAGCAAAGCCAGAGCCACGGGGCCACCACGAGCTGCCCCCTGCCTCACAATGTGCCACAGCGAGCTCCCTGCCCTTCCGAAGGCTTCTGGGCCAAAATTCCACCTCTAAAAGCAGCCCCTGGTGCCTGATGCACAGGCACAGCAATCCTGCATGGAGACACGGCTGGAGCAGGACAGAACTGCTGACAGACAGACAGACAGACAGACAGACACCTGGCTCCACCTGCCAGCGGGGTGTCTGCTCATCCTCACTGCCCCAGTCCTACTGGAAAGCAGGATAACATCCCCTCCTGCACCTGCACCAGGTGGGTTTTATGTCCTGATTCCTTGAGGCACTTTCCCGACAATCACTCAGCCCACGGGACAGGGCTGGGACTGCTCAGCATCTCTGCCCACCCTTCCTTCCTTTCAGAACAATTTTGCAGCTAAAGCCTCAACCTCAAGTCTCCAAAGGCAGATACTTGGGATTAAAGCAGCCAGAGGAACGCAAAAAGTGAAGGTAATTACAGTAGTGAACAAGTCTCTAGACCACCCTGGAATTAGAGTCTCTACCCTCGAGGCATTGAGGACCTGGGGAGCACAGGGACACAAACCTGTGTCCCACAACACGGGGCCTTGCAGGAAAAAAAAACCACAAGCAACTTCCTGAAGTGTCCTGAACAATTCACCTTTCTCGCTTTGCAGCCCACTCTGCACCTTTAAAGCTCCTTATCTCATTCTGCAGCACAGCAACCACCACTGGTGATGAGAACAACAAAGAGGTTTCTCCTCCTGAGAAACCCCAGCAGGACACAGCACGGGGAGGCTGGGGAGGCTACCACGACCCCATCCATCATGGTTCCAGAGCAGAAAGTCAAAGAGCTCCCACCTTCCGTAGTTGGGGTGCTCTTAGCGTCAGAGGTTTCAGAAACAGGCTCATCTGATCCATCATCCACTGGTATCTGAAGGGGATAGCCTGGAAAACATTCAAACACTTACAGCAAGGCCTTGGCTCTCAACTGGGGCCTGGGGGTTACCAACTCTGATTGCCCACATCCACAGCAGCGAGAGGCTGCAGCTGGAGACTAAAAACCACCTGAACTAAAAGCAAGCAAAGCGTGAAAATGCCAACCAAAAGCACCAGTGTCACCAAAAGGAACAAACGGAAACCACCAGCAAAAGAAAAGCCCGGTGAACTGGGCAGGCAGAAACAGCAAAGCATGGCACGAGCAGGCAGGGAGATCTCAGCAAGGTAAGGAGGAAAGGTGTGCAGCTCCTGAGTCACTGTTGTCCTCTCCCTCCCAGAGCAGGCTGAGCACTCCCAGGGCTGCAAACCAGCCCCTGCTTGGCACGGGGCTGGTGCAGGACATTCTGTGCCAAGAAACGGTGGCAAAAGTCTTCTGGAAGAGCAGGGCAAGAGGCACAAGTCTCCTCTCAGCAAGGGCGTGGGCAAATCAAATCATGAGAGCAGGAAAAAGCGATTTGGAAAAGAAGAAGCGAAATCCCTGGGAACCTGTGATGTGTGAAAAGCTGAGAGGAGGCACCGGAGCGCAGAGCCCGGGATGAATGGATGCTGTGGATTCCCTCCAGGACAGAGATCCATTTATCTGCTGGAAGAGGTGTCCAAAGCACCTCAAGAAAAGGAAATTAAGATGATGTTTACATGGAGCATTGCCAGGAGTGAGCCACACCAGGTTTGCTGGCGCTGTGCAGGGTTCCAAGCTCAATTGTGGAGCGTGGTGGAATGAGAAAGGAAAAGCTTCTGGAGAAATGCAGGTCTGAAATATGGTGAGGAGGACTCCAGCATGGCCCCCACTCCCAGAGCTGTCTGCTCAGCTGTCCCCAGGTCCCTGTGCAGGTGAGGGAAGCAGGCAGCAAGCAGCATCCTTGAGCTGTGACCCCAAATAAAAACCGTGCTGTGTTTCCATAGCAAACCGAGGAGTGAACACAAAGGCACACTTGCAAAGCTGCAGCCCTGGGACACCCCTGGGCTGGGCACCAGGGGTTGTTCTGCTCGTGCTGGGCAGTGAGAGCCACGAGCAGCATTTTCCTGGGATGCTGGAGCACCCCGTGGCTCCCCGTGGCCGCAGGGCTGAGCCCCAGGCTCCCTGTCCCCAAGGAGCCCTGGCAGCAGCACGCTGCTCTCCCTCTCCCTGCTTAGCTCAGCAGGGGCCAGGCAGCTCCTTCAGCACCTCCTGCACGTGCTCACCTGAGGAGAAGTGTTTTTCCTGGCCAGGTGCGTGATCGTCCATCATGGTGGTGTCCTGAGGCTGCTCTGCCACCTCTCAGCAAAGGTACCTGAAAAGGAGAGTAAAAACACCCATTAGGCAAAGCCTGACACAACAGGAGCAAAGGGAAGGTCTGGTCATTCCTGCACCAGGAAAAGCATGTGCCAGTCACTGCATCCCTCACAACAAACACACAGCCAACTCCTGCAGCTGCATCCAAATTTATTTAAGTTAAGGGTATTTAAGTTGTCCCAAGCAAAATGACCGTCCTGGAGCACCCAGGACACTGCTGTGACACAGTTTAGCCCCAGGAGATGCCTGTGAGCAGCAGGCTAAGTGCTGACTGACTGCTGGGGCACGCTCCAAACTCTGCATTTCCCAGTTTAACCAGTGTGCCAAGAGATGCTGCTGTGGGAAGGGATCCTTCCACCCCTCGGATACACCCAGCAGGGACACACAGCTACCACAAGACACTCATCATCCTGAAAGCCACCCAGAATGACCCATGGGGGGATCCAGGACGAGCCAGAGCAGAGGGTGTCACTCAGCCGTGGCTGTGAGGGGACAGCACAAGCCCTGCTTTAGCCCCAAACCCTTCCTGCAGGGCTCACAAAGCCCCAGCACAGCAAACAGGGCTGGGCTGGAGGCAGAGAGGTGCCAAACCTCGAGTTGGTCGTTTTTTTTCTAAACTGCATCGATCTGCAGGAGGAAATGGAGTCTCCAGCAAGCACCGGCTGCCCCAGGGAGCAGGGCCCTGCTCTGTGCTGCACGGACAGATTGTGCTTTTAGCTGGCATCGTCACAGCCACTGGCAGGGATTAATAATCAGCTATTAGTGTGATCACACGTTTGCCGTGATGGGTCCAGCACAGGAGCTCAGGTTACCAGCAGCAAGGAGGAAACTCGTGGTTTTGTGTGCTGGCAGTAAATTAACTGGATGTATGGAACCACACAAGAGAAACTCCAGGGCCAGTAACCAGATCTCTCACCCAGCTTTTTTTCAGCCTTAGCAAGATGACTCTGCAATTTAATTATTGCCTCAGACAGCTACAAAGCCATTTGACAGGACTGGAGGACCAAGGAAGCTGGAGAAATTGTACTGGAATGAAATCACCCATAAAAATGAAGGTATAAAAATAGGAAAGAATTAAGTATCTAATTTTTGCTCTAATTGGTGGGCCCTAATTATTTGGACATATAGCCACCCTCCTCCCAGTGCTCAAAGGATCATATTGATTATATCCAGGCCTCATCTGGCTGATGCTTGATATTATTTACAGCACTGAGATACTAAAATATAGTGTTAACCTAGTGCAGGGGTCACCACAGCAGCCCAGGCACAAACACGAGTGTAAAATGACACCAAGAAGTGCTGCTCTGGTGTGTTTGTGTGTGTGCAGGACACAGCAGGGGCCTCCCTACAGCAGCATTCCCAAAGCTCTGCCCTGTCTTCGGCAGGAAAATGGGGATGGCAGCAGCAGCTGATCCCTCCCAGCCACACTGTGCTCACTGCACCCCTCCCAGAGTGACACCTCTGCTTCCAGCTGCACATCCAGAAAACCCTCACAGAGGTGCTGTGCTGCATTTACACAGGCATTGTTCCCTCCCTCCCTCCCTCCCTCCCGTGTGTTTTTGGAGGAGAGCAGTCAAGTGTCTCCCCACATTTCGTCCTTTCTATCACCCAGAGGAGACTCCTTGTCCAAGGGTTATCCACTGGCCCCGTGGCCAGCATCCCCCCGGGGAAGAGCCTGCATTTCTGGGAATTTCTGGGAATTTCTGGACAATTCTGGGCATTTCTGGGCAATTCTGGGCATGCAGGGCTGCAGCAGTGCCGTGATTCAGCAAAGGGCTGGTGGTCACCTGCTTGCCCTGAGCACCCAGGCCTGGTGGTCACCTGCTTGCCCTGAGCACCCAGGGCTCTCCCAGCACAAAGGAACAGCCAGGGCTGTGCAGAGGAGATGGGGATTCATATGACCAAAGAGAATTTAAATCTTATTAAAGCAACATATTCTAGATTCGAATTCTCAAAGATGGAATGAAAATTCTGAAAGAAGTCCATAATGATAATACTCTTTGTTTTTCCTTTTGAATGGGGGAAGGGGAAATCCCTCTCAGGGAAAAACATAACATCAAGGGGAAAAAATATTCTAAAATATTCTTAAAAGTGTAAAACCAGCCCCGCCTTGAAGCAATGGTTCAGTGATGCATAATTAGAGCAAAGAAAGCTGCACAGAGATAAACTTGAACAGCAACTCTGCGTGGCAGATAAAGCACAAACCCTCCAAAGAACCTTATCCATCCCCAGCAGAACTATTCTCTTAACCAGGGACACTATCTAAAAAGCAGCAGCCTATCCCATAATTAACAGCTCCTCCAAACCTGGCATTTTCCAGACCTGAAGCCCAATTTCAGCCCAGCAGCTGCAGTGCTGTTTGCAGCCCTGGAGCCCCAGCACATCCCAGTCTGCCCAGGAGCAGAGCTGAACTGGGAGAGCCCGGCCAGCTCCTGCCAAGCCCTGCTGTGGCCAGGGACACCTGCACTGGAACAGGGGGCTCGGAGCTCCCCCCAACCCGGCCTTCAATGCTCCCCAGAATCCTGGGATGGTTTGGGTGGGAAGGGACCTCAAAACCCACCCAGAGCCACTGGCAGGGACAGCTCCCCCTGTCCCAGGAATGTCCAGCCTGGCCTTGGGCACTGCCAGGGATCCAGGGGCAGCCCCAGCTGCTCTGGGCACCCTGTGCCAGCCCTGCCCACCCTGCCAGGGTGGAACAACCTCCTAACACCCACTGCAAACCTCCTCAGTGTGAATCCATTCCTCTGTGCTGTCACTGCAGCTCCTTGGAAAGAATCTCTGCCCGTTTCCCACAGACACTGGAAGGACACGGTGGGGTCACCCCAAAGGTTCTCTTTGTACCCAGCCCCAGGGCCGGCGTGCAGCAGCAATTCCTGCCCAGCACCCGGGCTGGGCACGGGCTGGGCACATCCCAGCCCCAGAGCAGAGCCTGGGAACCCTGGCAGACCCCGCAGACCTCCAGCACCCCCTGCCCAGCCAGACCCCGAGCCCAAACCGAGCCAGGCAGCCCCAGCTCTTAAACCTCCGGTGGGAAATTCCTCCTCTGCAAGGCAGAGGAACCCAAGGCTGCAGACAACGTGAACACAACGAGCCCCACACAACCGAGGGGAGGGGGACGGGGCAGATGTGGGAGCAGCCAGATGTGCCATCTGTGCCGGACATCACAAAGGAGCAGGGAACAGCCTCCCCAGAGCCCCTCGGTGCCAGGGCAGCAGCTGCCCCCCACCCAGCACGGGCACAGCCCCGGGGACACGGCTGGGACTGTCCCCAGGCACGGCTGGCACTGTCCCACAGCAGCTCCGGGCTCACAAGGATGGCACCAGGGGCTCGATTTACACACCCCGAGCCCAAAATAAACCCAGAGCTGGCAGCGCTGCCAATGGGGGCTCACACGGGTGAGGAAATGCAGAAAAATGAACATTTCGGGGGTGAGGAAATGCAGAAAATGGAACATTCCAGCAGCAGGAGAGGGCAACGCCTTGGCAGGTGCTGGCTGGATTTGCACACTCTGGGACTCACCAGTGCACCCAACTGAGCAGCTCCACAAAATACCCACAAAATACCCACAAAATACCCACAAAATACCCGAGCCATCACCCAGTAACTCCCAGGTGGCCAAGCAGAGCTTCCTGGCTATTGTCTCAGCATCTTCCTTCTCCTTTATTTAATGAGAAAGGACACAAAGCACTCACTCTTGTTGTTAAAACTGAAAATTCAACAAACACGAGCTAAGTGTTACCTCTGAAAGGTGATCAAACACAAACAGGGCTTTAAAAAAAACATCACTCCGTCTGAATGATATAATTAAAACAGAGTGACAGCACTGTGAAACACCACCAGCCTGAAAGGCTGTTCATAATTCATAAGCAACTTCCTTTTCATCTCCTTTGTGTACTTCTCCAAGTACTGTTTTTCCCAGAAGCTGACAGAGGAAGGAATATGGACGATGATCTCATTAATTGCAGGCACTAATATGCAGCGAGCTGAGAAATTACAAGAATTTCAGGATATCTAGTCAAGAGGACAGAAAACTTCTTTGAGGTTCAAAGACAGATAAATGCCTCTTGGAGCAATAGGACAGAGTTAGAAAATAAATTGTCTCAAAAGTGCACATTTTCTTTTTTCTTTTTATGATTTTTCCATATTCATCATAACTCCTTGGAGGTCTGAAACTTTTGCCCCTTTCTCCAGGGGCTGGACACTTTCCAGAGAGACTTGAGAGGGGTTTGGATTCACAGCAGAACAGTTTTTGGGTGTCTGTCCCTGCCCAAAGCCCCTCTCAGCCCAGCACAAATTACAAATCAAACCTGCCCAGAGCCAGGAGCCCTGAGAGCTCAGGGGTCACCACGGGGGGCTCCAGAGAAAAGCCAAGGGACACTTGCACACTGATAAGTTCCTCAGGGCTGCTGAGAATTAAACTAACAGAATTTGCCATCCCAAATCAGCTTAGGCCCAGTTCAGCAGCTGCCTCAGAGCAGGGCAGCAATTAGAGACCAGATTATCCACCAGAAAAGCCCAGCCCATGGCCTGAGCTGCAGCACAGGGGGAATGGCTCTGTCTGCACGTCTGCTCTGTGCCCAAATAAAACAACTGTGACTGCTCCACCTTCACCTCCCCAAAACCTGAGCACCTCCCTGTCCCCCTGCAGCATCTCCTGCCACCACATGGATCTTCCTTCCTTCCTTCCTTCCTTGATCTTTCACCCCTTCTCCCTTTTGGTTTATCTGACCAAGCCAAGCCCAACCTTTCCCAAAACCAGAGCAGGTCCCACCTCCCCAGCCCAGCTTTCCCTGAGAGCTCTCAGGGGGGTTCCGGGGTGGCCCAGGGAGGTGCTGGCACTCCAGATCACGCTGCTCATTCCACGACACGATGCAGAAATCAGGCTGCCCCTAAGTCCACTAACTTTAGCGAGCTTAGAGCTCTGCTCAGAAGGGCTTAGGTGGCAGCAGAAAAGGAAGCAGGAGCAGTTTTAAAGGCTGCCCTGTGTGCTCAGCAGGC